TTGTAAGAGACCACTTACAGATATAGATTGAACATCCTATCAAGTAGAAACAAGAAAAACGATGGGAACTGACTCCCGTACAAGAGTCGTATATGCTACGGAAATATAGGAAGGGTCCACTTGTCAATTACAATTAATCACTGTGTATAGTATCCGCAAAATATTAGCATTTTGTACATATATATTGAAGTATATGTCCATATATAGATTATCATTTTTCGATGTCTTTCTAAATTTCGATTACATACGCATAAGTAATTTTTATTGAAGAGGAAGAACAATTTACTGCCTCCTATTCCATTATAACTCACGTTGTAAAAATCTTTTGAATCAAATATAAGTGAAATTACAAAATGTTTAGAGCATTAAGTTCTCATCCAGAAATATTTTTATAGTGGAAATTGTTTTGTTGATGAGTTTCTCCATTTTATAAATGATACTGGAATTTAATGAATTTAATTAAGAACAAAACTTGAAAGATTAGTGGTATAATTTTTGAAAATTTTAAGAATAATAAACTGTTGTTCACTCTTTACTTAATACTACCTCCGGTCCTAATTATAAGAGCCAATTGATTAATTGAAGAATTAAGAAAAGAGAAAGAAGTTAAGTTAGAAATATATTAGCATTTTGTACATATATATTGAAGTATATGTCCATATATAGATTATCATTTTTCGATGTCTTTCTAAATTTCGATTACATACGCATAAGTAATTTTTATTGAAGAGGAAGAACAATTTACTGCCTCCTATTCCATTATAACTCACGTTGTAAAATTCTTTTGAATCAAATATAAGTGAAATTACAAAATGTTTAGAGCATTAAGTTCTCATCCAGAAATATTTTTATAGTGGAATTGTTTTGTTGATGAGTTTCTCATTTTTAATGATACTGGAATTTAATGAATTTAATTAAGAACAAAACTTGAAAAATTAGCGGTATATAATTTTTGAAAATTTTAAGAATAATAAACTGTTGTTCACTCTTTACTTAATACTACCTCCGGTCCTAATTATAAGAGCCAATTGATTAATTTGAAGAAATTAAGAAAAGAAGTTAAGTTAGTATTTATAATAAATAGGTATTGTCTTTTCTAAAATATCCTAATTAAGTGTGTTGGTTAGAATTATCATTCTTAGAAGGACTACTTTGGAAAAATGTATAAATATGAGAGATAAAATAGATTGGGGTTTTATATTTAGGATCAAAATAAAAATAAAATAAAGTCTTATATTAAAGACCAAAGGCAGTATATAAGAAGTAGTTAAAAGTGACTTTAAATGTAATAAGAGTATTTGAAAAAAAAAAAAAGAAAAAAGAAAAGAAAGACCAACACACGTTAGGTCTTTTGTTCAAACGGCTTTGATCACTTAAGCTGTTACGCAGAAAATCTCGAGTTCGAGTTTGTGTAAATATGAAAAACATTTTTAGGGGAGTTACTCACTTACTCCCAATTAGAACTGACAATCCTTAAATCTAAGTCAGATTCAAACTGACAATCCTTAAATCTAAGTTAGATTCGAACTGACAATCCTCAAATCTAACCAAGTCAGATAGTCATTACCCAAAAAAAAAAAAAGTTCTTAGTCATCCAAAGGTTTTGAATAGTCAAGAATTATATTATTAGGAGGCATAACGACCAAAATTGGGGGTTCATGGATAAATGAATCCATAATATAAAATTGAAATATAATATGAAGGTAATATTATTCATATTTGTATGAAAATTCATTATAATTCATTCACAATTGCTTAATTAAATTAGAGAATAATTTAATATCATGCATGAGGATATAAGGCTTTTATGGCTGCAATATCATCAGCACCCAAAGTCCTCTTATTTTTTCCAGAATCTACCTCAGCAAACATGATCGCACTCGGATCATTGCTATGTGCAAGTCCTAGAAGATGCCCTATTTCATGAATCGCCACCCAAACCAAGTCAAATGCATCATCAGGCTGTGGTGGAACAAGACTGCTCCATTGTTCATCACCATCATAATGAAGCCTTCCATCTGTTGGTGGAAAAGCGTGTGCCAACACATTCCCCGGGCCATCGAACGGAAAACTGTCGCCGTGATCGCTGCAATAAACCCCGATCACGATGTCGGATGCCGTGCCGAATGCCGCCTCAGCAAACGTGAAACTAGTGACCTGAGACCATTGTACGAATGCCAGCCGGAAAACAGGTCTTAGTATGTCAAGGGACATGGTCTCAACCTGGGAGGAATTGATGCTGTACGTGAGATGTCTCTTGTTTGGAGGCCACGTACGTGGTTGTCCTCGATAAGTATCAGGCACTCCACATCTACACTTCGACATTGCCTTCATGGTTTCATCATCAAGTTTGCCAGAAACATTAAGGTTATAAAGTTCCCGAAACTTCCTCGTTGCTGCCTCCATATGATCTTCTAGAGGGTTCGAGCCATTATTCTGGGCTAGATATCCGAATGCTTCGAGGTAGTTTTTAGCGATAGCAAGGTCTTCACTTGCCAAGCTTTGGGGCTGAACCATGGTTTGGAAATTTACAGAGAGGAAGAAGACGAGAAGAAGCCTTAAGATTAGGGTTTGTGTTATAGCTGCGACCACCATGGCTAGAACCTAAACAGAAAAACCGAATATAGGACTGTTTGTTTTTCTATCGCATATTTTTCTGTGTTCGCTTAGAGATTTATATACGCACATTAGATAACAAAAACTTTACGTGCATGAATTAATATATTTTTATTATAGAAAAGGTTTATTGAATCTTAATATGAATAATTAATATGCATAGTGATGAGTAATGTATGACTGTATATTTAATTTAAGAAATATATTTATATATCTGCCATTTGGAAGTAAACATTTTATAGTATGTCAACGACTTGCTTAATTATTAAATACTACAACCATGTATGAAGTTCTAACGTCTTGTACATGTTTATCCCATCCAGTTTTTTCTATATCGTTCATGATGATTAAATGGAGAATTTCTCACAGATTAAACTACTACCTCCAGACTTTAATCTAAGAGTTAGTTGACTAATTTGAGTAAATTAAAAAAATTAGTTAAGTTAGTTATTTGTAATAGATAAGTATTGTCTTTTTTAAAATACTATTATTAAACAAATGTATTAACTAGAATTACCATTTGATGAAACTTTTGTGCACATACTACAAGGATCATCTTTAAAAAATAGAAAAATATAACAGAAAATAGATTGGGTCTTATATTTAAGACAAAATTGAATATTAAACTAACTTTCATATTAAGAACCGAAAGTAGTATATCTTTATATATATTCACACACTTTATATAATTTTCTAAGTAGTCTTCAAAAGTTATAGTGTGTTGTGTGAAATGAGCTATTGAAGTACGAGAAACGCCAACATCTCCATTCTAACAAAATTTTGGGTTATTTTGATAAGATCGGGTTGTGTAATTTATTTTTGTAATTAAGTATTATATTCGGGTGATCACTTAGTAACGCATTTCCTCTAAATATGATGGGCTTTATTGACCAAAATCCAAACACGAAGCGCTTTTTGCTGATAAATGATGATCAATTTTATAGAGTGTTTGGATTAGTTTTTTAAAGTGATTAAATGATGTTCAAGATAAATATGTAGTGAGAGAAATTTTATCTTTAACCGGCATGATAATATTTATTTAAATGTTTTTGGGATCCCAAACTCAAATCCTTGGATTGGCTGTGGAAATTGATTCCCAGCTCACTCATTGGACGTGATTAAATTGATTGTAACTATTTTCATAAAATATAACAAAATATAATATAAAAATAAAAAAATGAATAACAATAACGATATGACTTAAACATTTACATCCAAGTAAATCTGTATCCCTCATAAATTGAATATTTTGTTTTTCAGTCTAGTCCTTTATAGAATTATCTTCTTAATTTTATTCGTCATAAATGAAATTTTCTCAATTTGATCCCTTGTAATTTCTTAAACTTCCTTTTCATTATGGTCCCTCACAAATAAAAACCATTTATTATTTAGTTTCATTTATTTCTAGTGGATCTTTTTTGCCATCGTTTCTTTCTAATGGATTTGAAAATAAAAGTATGATCTTTTACTGCTTAGTACAGTATGTTAAATGATTTGTAATTAAAATGATTTTGTTTGTCTTAATAATGTTATTTGCAATCATTAATTGTCTTGTGAATAACTAATTTACAGAAATTTCAAAAGTCAGATTGAGAACATGAGAGATAAATTTAATTAGAGGAAGAAATTGGTAAAAATGGATCTTTCAGTCTTCAAACTTTCAATAAATTTTCATAATATTTAGGAAAAATTTATCTTGATGCACTGTTCATGCACCTCTATGCAATTCCCCCTAACTTATTAATTTTTTTTAAAGAAAATTAGTGTTATCATTGAACTATGTAGATGAATTTTCATTCAAGTTCTCCGCATTTATTTCAAAATTGAATTATTTGTGTATGGATATAAATAAAGTAATATTTTTTATTACATTTTATTAAAATGTGCTCCAGTTGTTTTATTTAAAATCTAAAATACTCTGGCTAAAATACGAGGGTTAAGAAATTGACTCGCATGTTGAAGTTGAATATTCAACAAGAACGTGATGGATACATTGAAATTCACCTTTGATTCATTGAACCACCTCTTTTCCTTGTGTCTGCTACTGAATAGTGATTATCAATAAACTCTCTCTCCATGACGATGACGAGCTTGGAATTTGCAAACTCACAATCTCCGCCGTCCAATCCAACGCGCCGGAGCAATCTACGGAGGCAAATGCATGGGATGACCAAGCAATATGGAAGACTATTCTCATTTTCGTCCATTAATGAAGTATTTTAATATTTTAATGAAGCATGGCCATTCCTTAGCTGCGAAGTATCTCTTTATATATATAGCCAACCTCCATCTTTATCCTCTCACACTGCAACGTCAAGCAACCACATTATTCTTGTTCTATATTTTTGGATTCTCATATCATATTTGCTCTCTCCCACATCTATCTCCTGCTTGAAAATGGTAGGTCATCATATTTATTCTTAATGTATAGTTCATCTGTTAATTTTTATGAGACAATTTTGGAGTATGATACATTCTTTTCTATAAGAGACATTGAGAAGCTGTCTCAAAAAAAAATTTTTTGGTTGATTTCACATTTTACTCCGTTTAATTACTCATATTATTTGTATTTAATCCCCACACCTTTTCTCTCTTCCACACAAATGAGGGTGTTTTTGGCAAAATAATTAAATTTTTTACATATTTATTGTTTAAATTAATTTTAACATTTTTCAAACGACATAATTTGGTTAATTGCTTTTTATATAAGAAATGGAGGGAGTATTTCATTTTTAGGTGAGCCACAATAGTTTGTTGCAGATGGGATAAGTGTTAGGAGCTCTCATCATTAAAACAAAAAAAAAAGGGTGAAATCTTACTCTGTCAACTATGGACTAATTTGTGCTTCTTTTTTTTTTTTTTTTGGTTCTTACGATTTTGTTGGAGCAGGCTTTCTCCCTTCAAATTGAGGTACTGATACTTTTAGGACTATCTCCATTTCTACTCATATGTTGTGTATACATATAGTCATCAAATTTTGCTCCCTGGTACAAAACCTTTCTAACATTGTACTGCTAAACTTTTGTGGACCAGAATGAATTTGTTCAGAACTCAGAGAGAGTGAAGTCTGTTGATCTGCATCCAACTGAGCCAAGGTAATACCATGTTCAATTCACCTATATCTTCTTAATATTCTACACCAATATAAATCTAGAACATGAATTCGAATGTTTCAGAATAAGGCAAAATGTCCCAAATGGCAAGACTTTCTGACCAATTGCTTATAAATGGTAACTTTTTCTCATGCAGGATTCTAGTGGGTTTGTATTCAGGAACAATTTCCATTTGGAACTACAATACCAAGGTAAGTATAATAAGAATTCACACGTCTACCATCTCCATGGAAAAACATTTGAACTAAAAGTTGCTCTGTATCTTCTGATTAATATCTGAATTTCTCATTCTTAAAGTTACAGTGAATTTTTTTAAAAAGACATTCATTTCAAACTTGATCCTGTTACAGACTGAAGAAAAGTCTTTCAAGATCAGCAGTCACCAGGTAAAGGATCATACATAATGCAGCACTTAGTGGTGTTTCACACTTGACTTAATTAGTCACCTTATGCTTGTTCTGTGCACATTTTGAATTCTGCAGTGAGATCAGCCAAGTTCATAGCTCGAGAAAACTGGATTGTAGCCGCAACCGACGACAAATTTATCCGTGTTTACAATTACAAAAACACAGAGAAGGTGACAGAGTTTGAGGCTCACAAAGATTTCATAAGGAGTTTGGCTGTACATCCTACACTGCCATGTGTTATATCAGCTTCTGATGATCAAGTTCTTAAGGTTTGGGATTGGACTAATGGTTGGTCAAGTGTTCAAAACTTTGAAGGTCATTCTCATTATGTGATGCAAATTGCATTAAATCCAAATGATGAATCTTCCTTTGCAAGTGCTTCCCTTGATGGAACTATAAAGGTATATAAACATATCATACTGGCAAAATCTCTTTGACTGCATATTTTCAGTTCATGAACTCTCGTTCTCTTGTATAGATTTGGAATCTAAGCTCCTCAGCTGCAAAATTTACCTTGGAGGGACACTTAAAAGGGGTGAATTGTGTTGAGTATTTCTCAAGAAATGGCAAGCAATATTTGTTGAGTGGTTCTGATGATTACACTGCTAAGGTCTGTCACTAAAAATTATACTTTGTTCTTCTTGTTTATAATAATAAGGATTTGAGTGATTCTTTTTCATCAATTATAAATCCACTTTTTCTAACAGGTTTGGGATTATCATAATACTGAAAACGTTGTACAAACATTGGAAGGACATAAAAACAATGTTACAGCAATCTGTGCCCATCCTGAGTTTCCTATAATAGTCACAGCTTCAGAGGATAACACTGTTAAAATATGGGATGCTGTCACTTATAGGTAATTAACTCATAATTGATCTCTCTCTTTTTCTCTTCTTTAGTTTTGATTTTTGAATATATAATTAATTTTTATCATTGACTTGCAGGCTTCAAACCACGTTGAACTTTGATCTAGAGAGAGTATGGAGTATTGGATATAAGAAAGGATCACATCGGTAAGTTTTTGAAACACCCCTTTGACTAAGGCAAACAGTATACAGAACTCAAAAGTTAATATTTTTCACTGATTGATCACATATCAGTGAGTTTTTTTGAACATTTCTTTCTGCAGGCTTGCTTTCGGTTGTGACAAAGGATTCATCATAGTGAAGATTGATTGGTCTTCTCAACACCTTCATGCTGCCAAACGAGACTAGAACGAAAAAATCACTTGAGACTTTCAGCCAAAGACTATAAGAAAACAAATACTATCTCCGTTTCTAATTATAAGACCTTATTTATAATATAACCGAGGTCTTATATTTATGATTGAGTAATTTGGATCATTTGAAGTACACTTAGTAAAGTATACAAAGCCAGGTATAAAGAGGTGGGCTCCACTTCCATGAGACCCACATTATTAAAAAGTGAGGCCAACTTTTTGGCATCTATCTTTCTTTTCACTTCAGGTGAAACACATTTTAGTGTGTTTAACTATAAAAATAAATAAACTTTCTTATATAATAACTAGGATGTAATCTTTAAGGAATGCTTTTTTTTTTTTTGATGTACTTATTCATAGTTGGAGCACATTGTGCTTGTGAGGTGCTATTCATAAGTTATTTTATTTCATGTATTCCATTCGATAACGTGTTTACGTTGTAATGTGCGGTGATATATAGTGTTTAATTACTTAATAAACATTCTTTTATCAGAAAGGTATCCGGTTGTTGAGCATGAACATTCAGATGACAATAAGGAATTCTATATAATTGTTATTAAATTTGTTGAGTGATAATTAATTACATAGTAAAACTTGTTCCTTCATCACAAATGAAAATTTTGGATGAAAATGTCATCCAACAGGGTTGGTCGTGCGTTTTGAAATACTTCTTGTAAAGGGAAGCAAAAATGTAGAGAAAAGGTCGGTCGTTTTATGATGACTTGTGGCTTTCGGAAATTACCAAAAAAGTACAAAAAGGATTTATATGATCATTTTTTTGCCAGCAAAGATTTATATAATCATTTAAGCGCATATGCAATCGCAATAATATTTTATGGCAAAAAAATCACATTAATATTTCAAGAGCCAAGCTGCATACAATATCTTTTTAAATTTAAAATAAGAAAGTTAAATATCAATAGGTTCCCTGAATTTTATTAAAGATTAATGAGTGTTAAATGATTTAATGTTTATAAGTTTTAAATGATTTAATATTTATAAGTTTGGCTTATAAAAATTATTTTTTAATGTGACCTGTCAATATATAAGTTTGACTTGTAAGTATTAATTTTTTATATATTTACTAATATTAAATAAAATCCAGAAATTTTTTATATTTAGTTTTCTTATCTAAGGTTTAGATTTTTTTTTTTAAACTACACCTTGGAATCTGTTAAAAGAATTTTCTAAAATCGCATTAAAATTTACGATTGGCAAAAAAAAATTGGCATTTCCGACGTGGTGCCCAACGTCTCCCGACTAGAAATGCGGGGCCCACGGAGCCACCGTGGCGACATGTCATCCCACTTTTGCCTACTTATTGAATCTCCGCCGTCCATTTTATCACATTTTTCTGATTAGCCATCGATCTTCGGAGAACGATGTTCCACGGGTGGCATTTTCGTTAATTTAATTCTTTCCCGCTTAGCACCGCTCGCTCGCTCCGTTTTTCTTCCCACGTAATATTTGCACGGTCCTGTCTTGCAAACACAAAAATGTGTCTCGCCCTCTCCTAGTCTGCTGTCTCTCTGAGCTCGATCTATTGGCTTGGTGCAATTCGATTTCTGATCTCTCAGGATTTGTTCTGTTCCAAAGCCAGTTACTCACTATTCTGTAAAAATGGTAAGATTTTTATTTGATCTATTCTTTTGCAGGCCCTTCTGCATTCTTGAATTTCCGAACACCCTAGATCTGGAGCGAATTCGCTTCGATTTGATATTTTCTGATCATGTTGTTAATTCTTTCCTATTTATTTGTCTTTATGTTCCAATGGGAGCTAACAGCGAATTCTACATTAACTTGTGTTTGTTTTGTTCTTTTTACGTGCATTTGCAGCCTCTCAGACTCGAGATCAAGGTACTCTTTTTTCGCCTACTTATTCATTTAACATCTATGAGCTACTTGGCGCTTGTTTCCTGAAGACGTGTTCGGTTTTTGAGAAATGCTTGATTAACTTGTCAGCAATCTCTTTATTCACTTAAAATTTCTCAGCAACCGAGCACACTTTTGAGTGTTTAGATTTCTGATTACTTAGCTGACTTTTTCTTGTCATTTCTCGCACAGAGAAAACTTGCGCAAAGATCAGAAAGAGTAAAATCCGTGGATCTGCATCCAACAGAACCATGGTAGCTTTTCGTTCTTGCTTCTTTTCTTGTCAATAAAATAATTACTTTTTCTATGGAGGAGGCTGCGTGTCCACTTGCTTCTATCGACTAAGTATTTCTCCAATGTGGCATTCAGAGTATTTTGTCGTCAATAGTAATGTTTGTTATTGGGGCCTACTCTAGATCTTATTCAATTTTGTATCGCTATAGGTTAGTAGTTACTTGTGGGAGTATTGAACGTATTTCTGAATTATGTGATACTGTGAATGCTGATGCAGGGTTCTAGCAAGTTTATACTCAGGAACTGTCTGTATTTATAACTACCAGTCTCAGGTATGTGAAGTTATAATTGAATACTTTAAATTGTTTACTTGTACTTTTTGCAATTCTGAATTCCGATGATGTATGTATTACTTCAAATCATGATGTGGGCACTGTACTAATAAAAGTCTTACCTCCAATCAGTTTCATCATAGTAATTGAGTACTGTGTCTTGTTTACATGCACTTTATGCAATTGTAAATTCCGATGGTGGATGTATTACTTCAAATCACGATACGGGCACTGTACTAAAAGTTTTGCCTTTAGCCAGTTTCATCATTCACATTTACTTGCAAGATGAATTCACTATTTCTTTTGATGAATAAAATGGTTCTTTTAACATGTAGTACTATTAGTTCACCAAAGAAAGTGCTAATATTCATAATCCGTGGTTTGTGTTTGTTGTACTGTTTCTTTAAATTGACGTTTAAGAATAGAGTTTCATTATCATGGTCATAGTTTGGGGAGAGGCAACCTATCCTCATGTGTAGCCTATGCCATATACAGGGACATGGATTCCTGGGCACTCAAAGAGTTGAACGTGGTCAACAAACTAATTATCATTACTATACTTATAATGCATGCGGTGTGTTATAATCATAAAAAGAATGAATAAAAAGGGCCTTCAAGTGATTATTTGGATTGAAGTGGGTTTTGAAATTTTCAGTGTTTGCGTGGCTTCTGATATGTGCCATATGAATTTATAGACTCGTGTTAAAAGATTTCAGTTTCCTGTTTTTAAATTTCTCCTGTATATATGTTGAAGTCATTCACTAGCCCGTCGTCAATAAATGGATGTATATCAATTTCTTTGGGGATTTCTTATGAAACATGCACTCAAAAGAAATGTCTTTACTATTATTTCAGACCATGGCAACGTCGTTTGAGGTCACTGAGTTACCAGGTACATATTCTCTTATATTTATTTTTGTCATGTTTTTATTGAATGGTCCAAAGAAATACCTTTTCTTTGAATATTTCTTGCTTCAAGAAGAGTGCTTTGGGGCTAAATTACAGTGTGATTTTGCAGTTAGGTCAGCCAAGTTTATTGCACGCAAGCAGTGGGTTGTTGCTGGAGCAGATGATATGTTTATTCGTGTGTATAATTACAACACAATGGATAAAGTTAAAGTATTTGAAGCACATACAGATTACATAAGGTGCGTGGCAGTTCACCCTACCCTTCCTTATGTCCTGTCATCTTCTGATGATATGCTCATAAAGCTTTGGGATTGGGAGAAAGGTTGGGTATGTACTCAGATATTTGAGGGACATTCTCATTATGTCATGCAAGTGGCATTTAATCCTAAGGACACCAATACATTTGCCAGTGCATCTCTAGATCGCACCATAAAGGTATATCAGTGCTCTTGTTGAAATTTACTTTCTGCATATTCTTTGTTGAAATCCATGCTTGCATGATTTAATGCTCGTCTTGTCTTCTCTTTCCAGATTTGGAATCTTGGCTCTCCTGACCCCAATTTTACATTGGATGCTCATCAGAAAGGAGTGAATTGTGTTGATTACTTTACAGGCGGTGACAAGCCTTATCTGATTACTGGTTCCGATGACCACACTGCTAAGGTTTGGGTCATTTTCTGATTTCTCTGTTTTTATCTTTGATTTACTTGCCTACAGAACTGTGATATATAATGTGTGTAAGTAATGAATAGGACATATTTTCATTGATAAAATCTATGAAACAGGTATGGGACTATCAGACCAAAAGTTGTGTCCAGACTCTAGAAGGTCACACGCACAATGTATCTGCCGTATGCTTTCATCCTGATCTTCCCATAATTATTACTGGTTCAGAGGATGGTACAGTGCGCATATGGCATTCAACAACTTATAGGTAGTATTTGATATGCAGATTCATCTCTTAGTTTTGCTTCCATGTGATCACTCTCTTATCGGGGCTTCTAAAAATAAAGGAAACAAAAGAAAACAAAGAACACAATAGTTTTTCTTCTTTATTATTACCATGGCTTGGACAATGCAGTATTCTGAACATCATGACATTGCAGGGCCTTATTCATATGCTACTTTTTGCCACTTTCATTATTTTGATCCAGTTTTGAAAGCGTTCATTTCTTCATTTGGTAAATATAAATGTCCATACTAGATGTTTACTTGAGACTGCTTTGAATTTGAGACTTCCAAATTGGACAATGTTGTCCGTTCTTCTGTTTTCTATTTTTCTATATTTTATTGCTTGCCTTGGTGCACTTTATGAGATGTTAGACTCATTTAAAATTGTAATTGAGATTATCAATAGTATATTGACCATTGAGTTTATTATTTTATGTTGATTTGATCCACTTACAGACTCGAGAACACATTGAATTATGGTCTTGAAAGAGTCTGGGCTATTGGATACAATAAAGGTTCACGTCGGTGAGTCTTCTTGCCTGTAGTTTCTTAAATGATTCTTTTTCTTGGCTGTGAAATTATGTAGGGTTGGATGATAGTGTCAAGTCTTCTTTATGAAGTCTGCATGTTTGATAACTGATTTGAGAAACTGCGTATCACAAAACTTGTTTGCTTCAATCTTTCCATCAACTGATATTCTCCTGCACTTTTTCTAATCTTTAACCTGCAAAGGGTCTCTTTTCATCCTACCCTCATGACATTGAATTTTAGAACTTCTTCATCCACAGGGTTGTGCTTGGCTATGATGAGGGAACTATTATGGTCAAACTGGGCCGCGAAGAGCCTGTGGCCAGCATGGACAATAGTGGGAAAATTATTTGGGCTAAACACAATGAAATTCAGACTGTCAATATAAAGAGTGTAGGAGCAGATGTGGAGGTTTGGGCTCATTTCTACCCTTAACTTTTTATAAAAATGTGAAGAAAAATTCAAAAGCATGATTATCATGATTACGTTATTTCTGATTTGATTTGTATGATTCAATATCACTTGGAACTTAAAATTTTAGAATATCAATATATATTTGGAAATCTTGTTTGCCTGAGTCAATTCACAGGAATCCTTGGAGTCAAGCAATTCCCATTATCTTAATGATTCTGGATTTTGGAGATGCAGTGAGGTTGCATTAAGTCTGCGACGTTGCATTGAGTCTTATGCAACCTGATTGCGAGTCTTTAGTTTACCCTTTTACAAATTATGATTTATAGCATCGACTAACTGCAAAATTGAGTCCGTATTTGTCACCAACCCATCTCCTTCTTTAACTCTATTGGCTATTTCATTGACCTGGATTTTTTTTAAGCCCGAATGTTCTTTTGAAAAATTAGACCTTGTATCCTTCACTTTTTTTAATGAAATGTTTGCCATTTCAAATTTGAATACATTTGATAATTATTGTTATTAAATCTGGCTATGCCGATGGAGTTGACTTTTGGGTGTATAACTTGAAGCTTTATTGAGACTTAAATTGATTATCTTTACTTTCTGTAAAACATGCTTACTACACTCCTAAAATGTTAGTTCGCTATGAAAACTTTTACCTCTGAGCGGCATACATTTACTTTGCTTCTCAGGTTGCTGATGGAGAAAGATTACCTTTGGCTGTTAAGGAGTTGGGCACCTGTGATCTCTACCCACAAGTGAGTAGGAATCATGATTTTATATTAGATTGCATTCTTTTGGGATGCTTCTCAGTTTTTTTTTTTTAAATAATTTTTAATCATCATTCTGTTATAAAATATCTTCAAAGAATAATCAAGTAGTGATCAGAGGAGAATAACTGTATTCTCTTGATTAGATACTCATACAAGGGTGAGGGCCTCTATGTATAGTTATTTCCTTGGAGACTTTTTTTCTAAATCTATGGCATGAATGTGATCTGGGATTTTCGGTGCAAATAAGAATCGGTTGAACCATAAATAGCCTATATTATTTGATGTTAGACATTGTACTTCGAGGGCAATGAAAGTGAAATCTAAAACTTGACTTATTTTATGGGTGGCGGGAATTGGTCTTGTGTTGCCTTCAATCTTCTGTGAAAGAAATGAGCATTAGGTTGATTGTTTTTCATGTGCAGTTTCGATGACCAGTTATTTGTTTCTCTGTGCAAGTTGTGATTAACTTGTGATCCACTAATATCATTTCAGAGTTTAAGGCACAATCCAAATGGGAGGTTTGTTGTCGTATGTGGAGATGGTGAGTATATTATATACACTTCATTGGCATGGAGAAACAGGTCATTTGGTTCGGCACTGGAAATTGTCTGGTCTTCAGACGGAGAATATGCTGTCAGAGAAAGTACATCAAAGATAAAAATTTTCACAAAAAATTTCCAGGTTTGTAATTCCTTAAGTAAGATGGTAGGAAGCAATAATAGGTTGGTAATTTCTAAAAATGAGTAAAGCAAACTAGATTCTTCCATTTCTGTACTGTTTTCAGTGAGTAGATCTTGATAAAATTAAGCTGGCTATTTTTTATTTCAAGTGAACCATTATTCTTTTCAGCCTGAATTGAACCATTACGGCTGAACAATGTAACAAGCATGTCTGCTCCCGTTGCCAATGTTACTAGTACATTTCCTGTGGTGGTTTTAGCTCTTCGTTTTATTTGAAAATTTAAAGAGTAATCATGTCAGATATTTGCTAAATGAAACAATTTTTTTTTTTGAATGAATTTCAGGAAAAGAAGAGTATTCGACCACCTTTTTCTGCTGAACGACTATTTGGTGGCAACTTATTAGCAATGTGCTCAAATGATTTCATTTGCTTTTATGATTGGAGTGAATGCAGGTTAATCCGTCGCATTGATGTTAATGTAAAAGTAGGTGCTTCCATTATATGAATAATTTCTGTTTTTTCCTCCCTTCTTCTATTTATAGTTTTATTTTGTTTATTTTCTGTTGACAGAACCTCTACTGGGCTGATAGTGGTGATCTAGTGACAATTGCTAGTGATACATCATTCTACATTCTGAAGTACAATGTGAGGATTATGATAATCTGATGACTTAATTATTTTATTATTATAGCTGCCTTTCTCTGAAGAACATTGCCCCAATATATTTGGCATACTTTGACGCAAGGCACTATAAACATGGTAACATTCAACATTGCAGCGTGATATAGTTGCATCGTATTTGGATGGTGGAAGACCTGCCGATGAGCTAGGGGTGGAAGATGGATTTGAGCTCCTTCATGAAATAAACGAACGGGTTAGGACAGGCATCTGGGTTGGAGATTGTTTTATTTACAACAATTCCTCCTGGAGGCTTAATTACTGCGTTGGTGGTGAGGTATTAAGTTTTTGTCTCTTCTATTCTTGAAAGAAATGCATGTTTTCATTTGAAACTTCATGAATCTTATTAAGCTTCTTTGTATTTAATGTTATGATTTAGGTTACTACAATGTTTCACTTGGATCGCCCTATGTACTTGTTGGGATATCTTGCTAGCCAAAGTCGGGTCTATTTGATAGACAAAGAGTTTAAGTTAGTCGATCTTTTTTTTTCCTTTTTGTCTTTTGTTATTTAAAGGCACAACTAGCAGTGATATTGACTATTCTATTTATTTTTTATTTTCTTTAGCGTCATGGCATACACATTGCTTTTGAGCTTGATTGAGTACAAGACTCTTGTAATGCGCGGTGATTTGGGTAGGGCCAATGAAGTTCTACCTTCAATTCCTAAAGACCACCATAATAGGTATGAGGCCAAGAGTGATCCTTTTATAATTCAGTTTTTTTTTTCCCCCCTTTGCCACAGGGGGGTAAACAATTTCCCTTTTTTTTTTTTGCGTGAGAAATTACATTGATTTGGGGAAAAAAAATGCTTTAAGTAACTCGATATTGCTTCATAGAATCATGTAAAAGCAGATAATTACAAAGCAATGCTTTACACTTCACTTTATGCAATTCAGTGTAGATGTTCTTAATTCTTTTTTTTCTTTTTTTTTGGGAAAAATATTTTAAGCAAAATGGATGTACATGCTAATTCCCTAAGAAATTTGCCAAAATTGCTGGAAAATGGAAATGTATGGTATGTGTGATAGCAAAAAATTTTGACCTAGGTAAAACTCTTTTCTTATTAATAGATATGTCTTATGTCCTTTGAGAGTTATGCTGGGCTGTACCCTCTGTTCTTATTACAGAGCTATGTGAATATATAGTGTCAATTCTGTACATTATATATATTTGCTTTCCATGCTTTAATGGTTCCAAACCTCAATAATAAGCTTGTATAATATACTGCTAAGTTTTCCTTACTTTCATGCATTTTCTATGCCATATAGTCCTTATTATTTCCATAGATCTAAAATTTGGTGGCCAAATGGCATCTGTGTTATAATTGTAAATGTGATCATACAATAGTGTGGCTCGTTTCCTGGAATCACGAGGGATGACAGAGGATGCTCTTGAAGTAGCAACTGATCCTGACTACAGATTTGAGTTAGCCATGCAGCTTGGGAGAGTGGAGGTGGCAAAGGTAAGTTCATGTAATATGCATACAATCGTATTATCTACAGTCGTGCAAAATTGTTAAGTTGGGTGCTAAATTTTCTTGTCTTTATGGAAGAACTTTAATTCGTTAGTTTATATTTTGATTAATATAACTCTTGTATTCTTTTGGTAGAGTATTGCAACAAAAGTGCAAAGTGAGTCTAAATGGAAGCAGTTGGGAGAATTGGCAATGTCTACTGGAAAGGTATTTTTTTGAGGGAAATGAGCTGGCCCTGTTTTTTCTTCAATGCTTGGGTAAATTGCATTTTTAAGGGCCTGTTTGTTTAATGCGGCATTGTGAGAAGTGATCTATTGTCTAGGGATTTTATGAAAAGCAAACTATTTTGCATTTGGTTTTATTCATAAAATATGATTTATGATTGGGTAATTTTCAGATTTTATGATATCTTTGTCTATTTCTGCTTATGAAAATGATTTATTATTTAGCGATTTTCGAATTTTATTATATCTTTGTATATCCTGTTATGAACACTCCCTCCCATTTACTATATCTGATTATTTTCAGAACCTACTCAAAGTCTCAAAGTAGCTGCTCAAAATAATCAAAAACTTTTTTTTTTTTTTTAAGAATCTGATTACTTCTAAAAGCATAAACATGCATTGTTAATTTTTAGGAAAGTGATTTTCTCATGAAAAAAGGTTCAAACAAACGCGCTATGAATGTCCTTACATGAATTTACAGTTCTGAGGTCTTCAGTTTTGATAATGTGCTTCTAAACATTATGATGGCTATGGATGCCTTATTGAGCCTTTTGGGGTGTAAGAAGTTTCAGAGAATGCATTTAGGACCAACTGAAGGCAGTTTGGGTGAAATTTCTACTGACCAGTTGTGTTCAGATGCTTTAGTTTTAGATGCTCAGTCTAATATATGACTAAAATGTATGATGCTTGTTGGGAATTTCAGTTTTACTGCAACTCACTGTATTTTGTGTTCTTGCAGTTAGAAATGGCTGAAGAATGTTTAAGGAATGCAAGGGATTTGAGTGGATTGTTACTGCTATATTCTTCTTTAGGAGATGCTGAGGGAATATTGAATCTTGCGACCCTTGCTAAAGAGCAAGGGAAGAACAATGTTGCGTTCCTTTGCATGTTCATGTTGGGTAAACTTGAAGACTGCCTTCAACTGTTGGTAGAGAGGTAATCTTCTTTAGCTGTGCCCTTTAGCTTCTATAAACTACTAACACAATTAAGCAACAGGTTGAATTAGAATTTGGTTTTACATAGCTCACTCATTCCTTTGCAGCAATCGGATTCCTGAAGCTGCTTTAATGGCACGGTCTTATCTCCCAAGCAAGGTCTCGGAGATTGTAGCAATTTGGAGAAAAGATCTCCATAAGGTATTTTCTAATTCAAATGTGTCATATTTTTAGTGCAGTAAAACTGCATTGTATGTAGAATTTATTCTCAAGCACCCTTACGGGGAAGCTTGTCATCTTAACAAAAGACATATTGGTTAAAGATAACTAATATATTTCATGGGTATATATGTCAATGCTTTTATCGCAGGTTAGCCCTAAAGCTGCTGAGTCATTGGCCGATCCTGAGGAGTATCCTAATTTGTTTGAAGATTGGCAAGTTGCTGTTGCTGTTGAATCTAAAGCTGCAGAGACAAGGTTAGGGTGTTAGAGTGCTCAATTTCTATATGTTTTGTTTGTGTTAGTCCTCATTCAAAGGATTTCAGAATAATAAGCATTATATTCAATCTTTCTTTGCATTTTTTTTCCTGGTATATTAGGGGCGTTTACCCTCCTGCAGAGGAGTATGTCAAACATGCTGGAAAGTCGTGTGTTACCCTTGTCGATGCTTTAAGAAACATGCAGATTGAAGAAGGGGAGGAGCTTCTTGAGAATGGAGATTCTAATCATGAGGTATACTACTTGAAGATATAACCTCCCATGAATCAGTTCACAAAAATAGAATAAAGTTCATGAACTAGATAGCACTATTTTTTTTTTTTTTTTTGGGTTGTGTAAAACTGTAGATTTCCACAAATGTTAGAGTTGGTCTTAGAGTGTTGTTTTGTGTAATTTGTTGTCATTTTGTTACAGTTGATTGAAGAGAATGAAGAAGAGCTCAATGCAGAGGAAAAGGAGGAGGAACAGAATGGAGAGGAGGCAGTTGTGGTGGATGCTGATTCTACAGATGGTGCAGTACTCGTTAATGGCAACGAGGCTGATGAAGAGTGGGGTACGAATCATGAAGGAGCCCCGTCAACCTAAAAGCAATTTGTTGGGCAGTGTGAAAAATCCAAATTTTGTCTCTGGTGATTAATTGTTTCTGAAGTGCCGTCTCTAACTCCTATTGACACCTTGCTTTTTACTATGACTGCCTTTGCCGCCTAAGCCCCACCCATTCTAGTTGCCTTATCATATACTTTACCACTATTAGTTTTATGTTTGGGAATTAGGTATCTACAGAATAGTATCCATTGTAAAGTAGGGAACCACTACTCAACTCTAAATAACCCTGATTTGATTTTTCATAAATTTTTGCAACTATTTGGCTTGGGATAAGTAACAGTTGGCTGCTAAATGTGCCAACTGGATTTTACCGATGCTAAATATTTTTTGTAGATCTGGCTGCTGTCTAAGACCAGGTTTAAATCAAGATATTTCCGTGGCTATAAATTATATCTTCAAAAAGTCTTAAGTGGGCTTTGACTGACCTTTTATAGTCCACTCAAGTGCTTTTCTCTGCCTTGATCATATTGTACATTCAGGAAACTCTGGATCCATCCATAATAATTCTGTCATAATTTTGTTAAATTAGATTTCTCCTGAAGAGGCCTTTTAGTTTCCTCCCCATAACTGCTTGCTACTGTTACCTATATAGCGTCTTGTGACTGTCCACTCATTAGATTATTGACATTCAAATGATGTTTATTTATCATAAAGGCATACCTATTTCTATTTTAATAGGGAAGGATTCGTTGTTTCTTTAATCTTAACTTTGTTTTCTCTTTTATTGATAGTGCTCACTTCACATCACTAGGTCTCATCAAGACAGTCGGTTCCAGCTACAGTGGATGTATATGAGGTAAGAATAAGAGAAAACACTATATTGGATTCCACTTGAATATCCTGATCATGCCTCTTTGTATTCATTGAAAAAATTTCAACCAGGATCTGGTACTGCTTGCTTACCTAATATGGAAAGTCATAAATATGTTTTCATCAACAAAAAAGGACTTCAACTTCAATAAAAAAAAAAAAACGGATCATCAATATATAATCGTATTGTTTTGTCTGACTGGAATATATTACTATGTGCTGGTAAATATTTAACATATTACCTTCAGTTCTTAATATAAGATTCACTTTAATGAAGAAATTAAACTACCAAGCAGATCTTATACAGACGAGTCTTACGTTTAAGACCAGAGGGAATAGAACAGGGGGATATGGTCCTTGACAACACTACATCATTGCATTTGTGTATCGTGCTGCTAGATGCATTGCATGTCTTTGGATGGCCACATGGAACCCAAATGATTTTTTTTTTTAATTTTTATTTTGCCAGTTTCTGTTATCATTTTTGTTTAATTGAATTTAAATATGCAGGTTTCAGTCACGGAGGCCAATGTTGTGATTGTGGAGATCGATTGTTCTCATTTCCTGGTATTGTGGTTTTAGAATGCCGACTTTGCTCATCTTGATCGTGGTATAACGGTATAACAGTATAGCATAGGGTCAGTTTACAATTTACATTTTGTGATATTACATGTAGCATTCTTCTGAGGATTCTTACCTCGATAGGCTTGTCTCATTTTGAAAGTAGAAAACTGAGCTAATGATATGATTGATCGTTCAAATTCTAGGTGGTAATATTGGTCCTAAAAATGTTGATTACTGGTATTCTTTTTGGATTGAAACTCGGACCTTTTACAGCAAAAAATAAAGATTCTTTCCCAGAATCTTGTTTCCGTTGAGATGATGTTGTTCAAGCTCTTCAAACCGTATCATGTCTTTCTAATAATATACAGTCAGATAATTTTGTTTCCCACCCTTCTTTTTTCGTTTCTAAATTAATTTCTTGCTTTTGAAGTTCAGCCATGTTTCCTGTTTCCGATAATTTATGCATACTTTGATGTGGATCGTCGCACGAAAGATGAAATTCCATTGTGCCAGTCTCCCTAATATGTCACTCGCTATTTGCTTTTATAAAAGGGCTGTTATAAAGGACCTCTCCTGTTTCTTCCATCAGATTTCATTTATCATCACCGAACAATTTCATTTACCTTTTAGTATGATCAATAGTCAACCCACGAGTTCAGTGAGTTGGTCTGTTTAATTCACTACCATATCAAAATAAAAGATAAAATCTCGAATTTTTTGGCTGTCTTAACCTCTATATTAAGATGTTAAATTTCCCAACTCTTAATTGATTTGCCCATTTTTCATCCCTCTTAAACAAAATTTTGCATGCAGCATGCCTCATGTTTTGCTTGATTCATCAGTTTTATAATACAGGGAGAATTTCAATAAACCTCCTCAATAGCTGATTAATATTAGTCAACCAACAAAAGCACCCTTATTTTGTTGTCTTGTTTGGAAGATTCTTGTCATCTAACCATGCTTCAAAATGTGGCTATCATTGGTTACCATGATTATATATGGAAATGCATCTAGTTATTTACTCCTCCAATCCTTAATATAAGATATAATTAATTAATTTGAGTAGATTAAGGATGTTAGTTAAATTAATTAATATGATATGTTTTTCTAAAACACCCTAATCATCTTTTTTAATTCTCTTCTAATCTCTCCTATTTGATTATTGTTGAGGGAGTATTGATAGAGCTAATTTGAGAAAAACTAATAAACATATGAAATAGGGTTTATATCAACATTAATTCTCAAATTATGTACTATATTAGGGATCGGAGGAGTATTAAAGAAATATTCAATTAGAATTAGAAGTTAGATTTCTAACAAAAGAATTTTAACTGGTGGGGATAGGACATTTAAGTTTGAAATATAACTTTTAATTTGCAATTGGGAATCCTATTTTCAAATGTCTCAATATTTTTTAGAAATTTTTTAAGCATCCAATTGTCATTAATTTGTTCTTTCAAGATTTAAATGTCATTCTTTCAAAAATAATATATTACTACCTTCGATTTTTAATATGAGACTTAATTAACTAATTTGAAGAAATTAAGAAAGTTGTTAAATTACTTAATTATAGCATATATTATATGATTTCTCTAAAATTCTTATATGTATTATTATATTATATGTCAATTTATAAGTGAGGCAAATTAGTTGAGAAAAATGATAACTATAAATAATTTAAAATAATTTAGTAATTTTTTTATTACTTTAAATTAGTTAACTAAGTCTTATATTAAAGGCTAGAAGTAGTATGATTCTCCTCTCCCAAGTTGAGTCAAATGATTATCAATCCATTACCAATAATAGAGTGGGAATATCTTTAACTTAATTATTTATCTCAACATATAGCGATGAAAATTAAAGCTTAGAAGTACATTATATTAGTATATATATGTGTGTGTATGTAGCAATTAACAATGCCTTCGATATCATTGGCAAAGAGTAAAAACAATGCCTTCTATACCATTGGTCCATCTCAGTGCAAATTAAAAATTCTAATTCTTGACTTGATCTGGGCCGCAAAACTTCAAATTAAGAATCGAACATTAATCAAAACTTGAAGCCATAGAAAATGTAATTTTCATATTTCAAAACAAAAAGATTCATTGCTTCAACTCCAACTCAAGAATGGCGATCTTTTGTAGGATGATTCCTGATTTGTTCATTCATGTGAGAATAGACAAAAGCAAAAGAAAGAAATCAAAGCAGCGCTAAGAATTAATAAATCAATGTCCATCTCATCAAAGAAAAATAAAGATCAAGTAACGAATTAGATGCTTCAATTTACTTTTCAAAATTAAAGAATTATAGGAATCATCATCATCATCATTTCAAATCCTGTCAATTCGCATCATCGACTGTCTCTTGCAAACTCATAACATATTGCAATCTCTTGGTGCACGAGGTAAGTCTAAACCATCGTATATGTGATTTTCTTTTATTTTGAGGGAAAATAGTTATTGAAAAAAATTCTAACTTTAGCATTTTGCTGTTTGATTTTGGATGAATGCGAGCTTAGCATCTTTGGAAAGATCAAAAGTGAGAAGCAGATATGGAGCAAGTGGTAGAAATCATATGGGATATTACAAAGTATTTGTGTGGTTGTGCCAAACAAGAAGCTGGGTTTATTTGTGAGTTGGAAGGGAATCTACAATCTCTAGAACATGAATGGAATATGCTTGCAGCTAAGAAGAAGGACGTGGAAGCACAGATCAAAGAAGTTGAGGGTATTGGAGAGGGGCAAAGGACAGATGAAGTCGGTGTTTGGCTCCAAAGTATCCAAAAGATTGAAAAGGTACGAACTTTTCATTTTACATTTATTCTCTTTTTTTTCCTTATTTAGCATGTGGTGTTTTTATTTACTTTGATTGTTTCTGCACATGAATTAGATAATTCCATGTTCAACATCAATGATGTTGTTAATCAAGTAATTCCTTAGCTCAATAATTTATAATAATTTAATTTAAATGTGTTAGTTCAAATCAGGCTAGTTAAGAACATTTAAAAATTTTTGGACAAGTGTGAAACTCATATTATATTGAATTTATTTGAAATTTTATTACAGTATACAAACCGAACAAGTTTTGGTGCTCATCAGAGTGGTGAGTACCTCAAGCTCATCATATCTGAACCATCTAGATCTGATTGACATGATATGGATTTAATTTATTTTTTAAATAATTTTTTTAATGGGTATATGATGTAAAATAAAGATGATATCTTTCTTAAGAACGCAATTAAGTAAAGAACATTACCTTATATCCACATAATTAAAACTTAATTTGACAGCGTGCATATTGCGTACATAAAAACTTGATTTATCAGTATCCATATTAAAAGCTGTCCAATTTTTCAGTTAAAAGAAAAGTACGTAGAAATAAATATAACTAGAAAAATATGTACACTTGATTATCTTTTGTATACTATTAAATACATAGCTAAAAGAATACTTCAAATCGAGAACATGTAGTTGTGAGCATAATGTTTTTATACAGTTCCTGATTCAATACTCATCATAGCAATGAGTACTGTGTGCTCATTATTGTAATGCAGTCTAGATCATCTAAAATGTCATATGAATGATTTATATTTAAAATTTTTAATATGCAATATTTTCAGTAATAACTTTATTTTTTAAAGAAGTGTTAGTTATAAGATTATATTTATTTTAAATTTTGTATCTATTAAAATTCAAAATTAATTGAAATATATAAAAAAATTAAATTCAATATGGACTGTCCAAAATCAATCTAGATGGTTCAAGTTACTAAGAATACCATGAGCATGGAATGTGCTCCCAAAAAAAAAAAAGGCATCCATCCCATATGAACATCAGAAGTTCTCTCTCTCTTTGCTCCCTCCCTCCCACCCTTCTACCATCGCCACAAATAAACAGCTTCGATGACGGCGACCTTGATGGTTAGCTATGGAGGGAGGGAGTAGAGAGACAGAGAGTACTTTTGTTGTTCAGATGGGATGGAAGCTTTTTTTTTTGGAAGGGAGAAAACCAATGTGAGTAGACTATTAATTAAGGGCGACAAAGCTCTACTTTTTTGTGCTCTAAAATATTTTAAGGTGCTGAGTGTACTTTATAAAATATTTTAGGAAGTTGAATGTACTTTAATCCTAATAAAAATACAATATCCTCTACCTCTACTATAATTTTGATGGATAGAAAGATAATAAGATATTAAACTGATGTTCTAATTATTTTTGTTTTACAAAACATATTTTATTTTTTTAATTGTTCAAAAACCGTTTCAGACATGTATTTTATTTGTCGTTTTTAAAATTATAAAGGAAAAAAAGCTGTTTTGTCAAAAGGAAACCAAACAAGCCCAGCCAAAATCTTTAATAATATCATTATGCTTTTTCAGTCAAAAAATTGTCATTCATATTTGGCCAAAAAAATTTCATTCATTTATATTAAGATGTGCAATCTCTTATCTCGATATCAAAACTTGATATGAAAGTGTGCTTAATTAGTTCATGCAAAGATTCAGAAAAACAGGGGAAAAGAAATATCAAACTAAATGATTTTGTATTCACAGGAAGTAAAAGACAATCTAGATCAAGGGGCCCAAGAAACCGAAAACAAATGCCTAAGTAAATGTTGTCCCAAGAATTGCAAGTCAAGCTACAAGGTAGGAAAGAATGTTGCCAAGATGCTCACTGAAGTAGATAAGCTGACAGCCGAGGGACAGAGGTTTGGTAAGGATTATCAGATTACTCACAAGCCACCACATAAAGGAATTGGTCAAATACCTCTTGATGGAACCGTGGGGCAAGATTTGATATTTGATAAAGTATGGAGTAGAATTGAAGCAAATAATGTTGGTGTCATAGGTTTATACGGGACTGGAGGGGTGGGAAAGACCACTTTATTGAAGAAAATTAGTAATGAACTTGGGAAGAGAAAGCCCGATTTTCTTGTGATTTGGGTGGTGGTATCCAAAGAGCGTAACTTGGATGCAATCATGGACAATATAAGAAAATCAGCAGGAATTGGAGATGTTGCTTGGAGTTCTTGCAATAGTCGAGAAGAAAAATCTTCAAAGATTTTGCATGCGTTGGAGCGGAAAAAATTTGCTTTATTGCTGGATGATGTGTGGGAGAGATTGGACTTGAATTCGGTGGGGGTACCATATCCAAAAGATTCAAACTTTGAGTCCAAAGTGTTGTTCACAACACGATTGGAGGATGTGTGCGAAAAAATGCAAGCTCAAGAGTCATTCAAAGTGGACTTTTTGAATGAAAAAGAAGCTTTGGAGTTATTTTATATGAAAGTTGGTGAGAAGACTTTAAACTCCCACCCTAGGATCAAAGTCCTAGCAGAAGAAATGGCAGCAGAGTGTAGAGGGCTACCGCTTGCGTTAAGTGTGGTAGGAG